TTACCATCAATTTAATTTATATTTTATTTAGAAATAATGTGTGAATCTAATTTATTAATGTGAATGGAAGGGCTTATCCCCCATTTCCCCGAAGAATGTCGGGTATTTTGGATATATAGTTTTTAATTTTTACATATTCTAACTATTTGCAAACTTTGGATTAAATTACATTTCATTACCTGAACGTAGTTAGACGTAGTTAGTCTTGCTGCCAATGCTAACCAGACTAACTGTTAGTGACTAACTAGTTAGTTCATCTGGTTTCCTTGTGTAAGTGTTTGTTATTTGCATTATTTTATCCACAATTGAGGTATCTATTTTATCCTGCTCTCCTGGGTCCATAACTCCAAGTGTTCCATGCATAAATATTTCTTTAATTTGTACATTTCGATCGCATCCGGCCATCCTAAGCAGCCCAATGGGCCATTCCCAACATAAGTCATACACTATAGCTATGAAACTGGCTTCATAGAAGTAATTAATCTACTTTATTACACCTCAAAAATCTGTTTACGTTTTCTGGCAGCAAGACTGACTACGCTCATGTAATGAAATGTAATTTAGTCCAAAATTTACAAATATTTAGAATCCAACCACAAAAATTAAAAACTTAATTTATCATCAATATTCATTCAGTTTAGTAGTTCTATCGTACAATGACATTGTGCAGCATGAGTTAAAGATGATTGTCCAGCGACTATTCACAATATAATGGGTGAGATCCATGTGGTCCAATGAATGTTGTGTGTTGCAACTATGTTTCACATGTTTTATACATGTTGGAAAAAGAAAATAATGTTTAAATATTGACTGAGAATCTAGCCTAGTAAGGTGAAATAAAGGACAGAATGCTTGGCATAGTTTTAACACACAACATTCATTGGACCATATCCCAGACCGAACCAAATATTTTGTCCAGCATGTCCAATCAAAAAGTCTTAGACGAAAATTTCACAAGTTAAAGTTGATTGTTGTCTTGTAGCATACAGGTAGCAAATTTTCATCGACAGCGCACACTTTTTTTGAGAAGTACCGTCCCAGGCTCCGAGAGTCAGGAAGAAACCCGATACGTGTGGTTAGCGGCTGCACTGTCGCAAGAAGGTTCCGCCCTAGTTGCCCTCTGGAAGAAATTGCATCAGACGACTCGTCCTTCGTCATCTAGCGATTCTCACTTCCTAAAGTTCCCAATTCTAAGGGTCTTTAGCTTTTCGTGAGAGCAAACAGCGACATAAAAGAGAAATTAATTAACTATAATTGATAAACGACTCGGTAGAAGTTCATCCGACTTTTACGCCAGGTGCTGCTATAAACGGGGAGAAAGTATTTACAGCTTCCAAGGACAATAAACGCTGTTTCAATGAAATTTACTGCTTCCAGAACGTCTCATCGCGCTTTTACGGCCGTCAAGATAAACTACATTCCTGGACCACTATCGTTCAAAATGTCCTGATATACTCCACACAATAAAAGATAACAACATCTGGTACTGCGTGGTCTCATATTTCGGACAAATAGTGCAACTACAAATAAAGTGTTGTGAGATTTCTCTTTGAGGCCTGACCCTGAGCAATGACCTGTTCTTGCTCGTTCCGAATAAAAATTTAGTCTGCCAATCATCGCTGATTAGTGGTGGGTTTTTGTATCGAAGGTACGGTATTGAAATAAAGCCATAGATCTTAGTATACGATTCAAAAAACAAACCTTTAGTTTGTTATGTTTACGTTGTAGAGATAGGAGTTACCATTGACAGGCTTCTTGGTATTATAAATACAGCTGATCAGGAGATAAGTTATGTGCTTTCCCTGATTTTATTTGTAAAAAAAAAAAAAAAGATTTGATTTTTAGGCCAACTGTTTTTAAATATCTACTTTGGCATCGTTAATATTGAAACACACCACTAAAATTGGAGAAATGCCTAAACGCATCTGAATGCCAAAAATGCGAGGTGGGCAGACAGAATAGGGATGCTATATGGCACTTATGATGGTGGAATGTTATAATAAACCATCAAATAAAATAAAATGGTACATGCGGATATTAATGGTTTATGCTTCCTCCCGATTAAGAAGTAAGACCTAATCAACCTATTTATTTTAAATTCTTATTTATGATTGTATTTTCTATATTCACTGCAAAAGTAACGAATTTATATAACTTTTGATTGGCAAATAAAGCTAGTATAGGCAGGCCAGCATGATAGAAGTGCAAATTTTAAGTCTTTGTAATATGAAAACGAATGCCCATCCTAAGCTGACATACTGCATCATTCAATGCTTCATAAAAAAATCGTATCTTTGAAAAGTTAAGCCCACACGTTCAATTTCTGCTATTCCATATTACCAAATAGTTAAGCAAATGTTTAACTTATCAACTCTTGATGAAAAAGTATTTTGGCCTTGCCGGCCGAAGTGAAATGCTGTTTGGAAGCCTTGGCCCCTGTCCCTGCCTTTTATCAGATCAGTCTAGTTAACCTCCACCCTCAGAAATTCGATTTTTTTAATTAATCGCATAGGTTGATTTGTTGTTTTTTTGTTGGGCCGTTCTTATTTAAAGTTATTTCTTTATACAAAGAAAATAAGATCCGTTAAGCAAGCATGCTTTTATTTTTTTAATTAAAATTCTAATTACTAAATTCACTAATTTCGTGGTCCGCTTGAGCAATTAATATATTACAATTAATTAAGGTTTTTTAGTTGAGATAAAAATGTCAATGGCACGAGCGGGATTCGAACCCACGATCTTAGACTAGATAAGTTAGTGAAGGGAAGTTAGTGTCTTGAAAATTTAAAAATAAATACTCCCCGGCGGGGAATCGAACCCCGGTCTCCCGACAGGCGGGGATACTGACCACTATACTACCGAGGACTTGTACTAAATCTAATTTAAAAGGGCCTAGCACTTTCTCTTTCAAGCCTGCCGACAAATTAATTTATTATTATTTAAATTAATAAATATTAGTTTAAATTAATGAGAGATAAATTGAAAAATTTTCTATTGAGGGATTTGCAAACGGGGTGAAATTAAAGGGCGTTTTAATGAAACAATATACGTTTATAAACTGTAAGTATATATATTTTTTAATTAAATTTTTTTAATGTTTCCCCTTTGTTTTTTGTTTTTAATTTTACTCCGCATAAATTTGACCTTTTACTTGTTCTAACTTTTTTCAATTATATTATTATATGTATGTGGGGAGTATTCGGACGTCGGATTGCAGGTTTTAATGTGACTTTTTTTGTGATATTAATAATAATAAATTATTACACAAGTTTCCGAGCGTTTTTGCTAATGAGTCCTAGGAACCGAGCAAAATATATGAAAATATATTTAAAGTTTTACATTTTTTTCTTATGAGTTTTATAAACCTGCCTTTGTTGTGGATGTATTTCAACATTGTTATATATTCACTAATTTCGTGGTCCGCTTGACCAATTATTGACAAATGGCAAAAAGGAGGGAAAATTCAAAAGGTGGGGTTGAGATGGGAAATTGGTGTCCGAGTGAATCGAGGTGAGTTCGAATCCCGCTCGTGCCATTGACTTATTTATCTCAACTAAAAAACCTTAATTAATTGTAATTACTTTTAAAATCCATAAGTTCGATCAACAGCCCTACCCAAATATATCGCTGAATCCTATACTAGAAATACGTTAAAAAATTACACTATTTATTTTATTGCAATGAATGAAAAAAATTTGCTTTCTGAAAATTATTCTATTTTGTAGTTTTACGACTTATTAGAAGGCTATTTATTATAAGTTATATACATTTATTCATTTAAAAGCTCTTTAATAGATAAGGTAAGGTTTGCTCATTAGATCTAGGTGTACCTATAGATTGGATGTTTCCGATCATTTTCATCTATTCTCCTTGTTTTTGCCAGCCACACTGTTTTTCGCCATCTCCAGTGGTGGGTCAGGTTTAACGGTCTGGTGAGATACTAACCATATTCAACATTGAAAATAGCGAGAAGCCGAAACGATCAGACAGACCAAAGACAGAACAGATCCATAGTAAGGATAGGCACAGAAAATAATCGGAAAGGATCAAACATCAGATCGGCACTAGTTCATAAATGTGTGGTGATTAGTGACCGTTAGTCCATAATTATTCAGAAATCGTGAGTTGCGGTCTGGTGTGATGTAGGTTTCAGAAAAACATTTACTTTATCGTGCCAACGTTTCGATCTTTATTGAGATCATCTTCAGGGCTCAAAGTCAATAAAGATCGAAACATTGGCACGATAAAGAAAATGTTTTTCTGAAACCTACATCACACCAGACCGCATCTCACGATTTCTGAATAATAATAGTTCATAAGTTCTTTTCTTGACGGGTTCATTGAGTTCATCCACGGACATTCGTGTAATTTCAAGAACACCAGGACTTCAGTTTCTTATATCATTATGACGAATATCAGGCTGTTTTATAACCCATTTTCAGATGACGGTTTTCCGAACATTCGACTTATCTTGATTGACTTTATAAAGTTCTACTCCATTTAATTTATTATTAAATCCTTTCCTTCTAAATTTTGCTCGAACATGTATTAGCTAAAATTTAGGATAGTAACAATTTTCAAAAATGTCGTAGGATCATGATAGTGTCGACGATGTGTTAACGTGTGACATGCAATTTACGACATCTTAGCCTATATGTTCTAGTTAAAATGTAATTTATTCATATGCTAAATATGCACCTTTCAGAACAATGTGCAACTTTTGAATGGTACAGATAATTGGTCGTGAAGCAACGGTGATGAAACCGTTTTCACCACTTAACCACAATTGAAACCGTCGTGATTTCTTGCAAGTACAAATATATATTTTTCAAATAATGAGTTCGATTTTTTGTACGTGTTGGATTATCAAAGATGTCATTGACTGCAAGAAATGTGTTAAGGTTAGAACTTCACGCAGGATAATGAAATCGTTAAGAAAGCACGCCTGAAAGAATTTTGTAAGAATGTTTTTTTATTTATAAATATTCGAATTGTTACAGATTCCAGGGGAGCTATCCTTCCCTCAATACTATCAAGTAAGTAATGTTTTTCTTTTTTTAGTCACTGGCTTTATCATTCGACCGAATTGATTTGTTGAAATCGTCGGCAATGCACCTTTCACTCCGCCCGTGTCTCAAAACTGCTTTCTCTTATTGCTTACCGAGCCCATTTTATAGCGCAAGTCGAAGAAGCGACAACCAATACAATTTAAAGTAAAAATCGCACTTAAAATAAGTTGCGGGCAATTGGTCCATAAATATTCATGGTTTTGGAATCAATATAAAAAAAACATTTGAGCTTGCTGTCTGATGCGCTTAATATGTAAATATAGCCAATTTACCCTTGTCTTACTGTCCATTAATACTGACGTATAATTGGATTTTGATATATATTTTTATATCCGTGTCACTGGTAGATAATCTATTACGGCTTTTTGCAATAGTTATTAAAAATTTAATATTGGACGTTTTCCTAATTCATAAAATGCAAGACAAAATTGCTTGTTTAAATTTGTTAGCTTAAAGATGTTCGATATTGCTTCAACTTGTAAGTTCAGCTTTCTTTCAATCATACTGTTAAAACACACCAACCATAATTTATAATGAAGCAAAATCTTTACTCGTACAAATAATAATAGAGTAGTCAATAATAACCTAAAAATGAAACCTTTCCTATCATCATTACCCTATCTACTGTTTAATCACTTTTAATTTTTATGAGAGTTGTTGAAATTGAGTTGACTGAGTTGATCATCCTTGTTCAGCATGGTTCACCTGTTCACCTGCTGTCAGAAGTAAAACTCTGTCTTCCTCTCTTCCAGAGGCGATATTTTATTTTCACGAAGGATGATACTTAAACATGGATAAATCTAATGCAAACAGGGAGAATAGGCGGACCAGGATGACCAGAGACAATTTAAAAAAAGTTTCAAATTTGAAGTACCAAATTTTGCTAAAAATTGTTGCACAATATGGAATATTATAAAGAATACAAGTCACTAATAGGAAATTTAGAGGAGATGAAGATGGAATTTCAGCACCCTTGCCATAGCAAAAATTAACATATTAAAAGATTTTCAATAATGTAGGATTTTTATTGTAATTTTCAGGGTAATGACCATGTAATGTGATTACCGAAAATGTGTACTGTTTAGTGACCGTTAGTTAATGATTATTTAGAGATCGTGAGGTACGGTCTGGTGTGATGATCAGGGCCTGAAAGTTATATAAACATTGTTCAAATTATACAAATACATGTAGAATGTGAAAAAAGTGAATTTATACGATGCTAGAAATTTTAGACTCAAAGTATTTGTACTCACTTAAAGTGTTTGTTTTCTGTGTAGATGTAAACATTGTTTATAAATCCCAGGCCCTGAAGATGATCTCAATAAAGATCGAAACGTTGGCACGATAAAGAAAATGTTTTTCTAACACCTACGTCACACCTGGCCGCATCTCACGATTTCCAAATAATCGTTATCGAAAATGTTTGACTGCATATCTTTATGACACACTATCTATCAATATGACAAACAATTATCTCTTAAGATTATTCGCAAAAGTTAAGTTTTAGACATTATTGTTGGCTTTGATTCCAATGTGATATAAACATTTCTGAGTGGGTGTATTAAATTGATTGTAGAGACACTGATTTTACTATATATCACTCACTTCAGCTCGCGTGACACAGAAATTGAGAGAGAGTAGGTGGACCTATTGGGATTATTCAACATGATTTCATTATCCAATTTTATACCAACAAAATCTAATGATAATACGTTTAGAGACGAGTACATCTGGGTGAGGTCTTTTTTAATAAAGGTATTTCTAATGACAAATTGTTCTGTTCAAAACCGCCGCATATTTGTTCTTTCTATGCAAGTGCTTTTTGAATGCTAATCATTTTTATCTTAATTACTTCTTATTATTTATATTTATTGACTGATAAAATTTCCTTTTAAGTTTAATTTTTAAGCAGGCTTCCATTTTTCTTTTCACAACCTCAGAAGCCATATCAACCCTCGGGGTGCTGGTGTTTTTGAAAAAAAGCCCATTTGTAAGTATGTCGGGTTTGAACGCCGGGGCGCTGGATTCGAACCCGGGACCTTTACCTTACGGTGGTGAACGCCTAAACCGTTGCTGCCACCGTCGCCTCCTCCAGACTTCTATTGTAAATTTTCAAACCATAATAATTTCTGGATGTATTTACCGCTAATTTAAATTATTAAGGTAGTACAGAATCTAGCATATTTTTCTTTTCAGACTTGAAAACCAGTTCTTTGGAACGGAGATAGAGGATCGATCTTGTTTTGCAACTTCTTAAACATCTGGCCTAATTTAGTGGCATCATGCATCTCGGACAGAGGAAATATTAAGGCCAGAAGAGATGAAGGTCGGACCATGCAAATGCTTTCGTTGCAGGCCTTTTTTTTCAGTATTTGAATATCAGGGGTAAACCATTTTCAAGATAAAATAACAACCTTAATAATAAAGTAATACTTACTAGGGCTTTTAATAACGTTATTGGTTTTTGAAAAATTGTGGTAGCCGTGGGTAATTTATGTCTGCCGTTTATGGGTTTTCTCAAGAATAATAAATTTTCAATGTTACGTCGGAATCAATTTTTAATGGGCCGGCATGTTCTTTTCCTGCTCGGCTTAGAAACAGTCGAAAACGGTAAAAATCATAACGGGTTATGCAACGTGGACGTGTCAAAACGTTTCGAAGCGGTGTGTAATTACATGGGACAAATCGTATCAGCGGCCTTTTTGAGGCGTTCTCTCCGATGAAATTCACACGCCGTTAAACTCAATCTCATAAAAACTCGATTCCTTACATCCGGATAACATAAATCTCGGGATTTAAAGATTAGGATGTAGGTTAATTGGGCAAACATCTTATTTTATAAATAAAACAACCAAATTGAGATAAAGATAGATTTACTAGAGTCAAATCCCATGTTTCCAATTGAGTGCATTTTATGTCTTATATTATGTGCATTATATTTTGATTAAAAATCAAGAAATTTTATTTGGTCGGACATACATGGTTCCTCTTTTCTGTATTTTCAGCGGTTGATCCGTGATTTTTTTTCGGTAATCGTATTCTTACTTAATTATTTACTATAATATAACTATACTTAATTCTTGCTATAATTATATAAGTCACACTGACAATCAGAAACAGACAGGAAACACTGAAACACCTCTGAGAGAAGAATCTGGAGAGGATAGGCAGGCAAATCTGAATAATCTGAAAGGACAAAACTTCTGCCCGTTATTGCTGGTTTTTCTGTCAGATATATATTTGCATGTTACAGTCTAATGTGGTCTAATTTTGGTTTGCTTGATTTAGGCATGTTATAAAAAGGTCCTGACTGATAGCACACATCAATTATACGTTACATAACATTAAAAAAATACTTTTAAAAAACTATGAAAATAATAAAAAACCCAGACAACAAAACAAAGAAGCAGGCAGACCAAAATGTTAAAAAACTATAAAAGAAAATTTAAATGAAAATCAGTAGCGTGCTAGCATTATCGAGATCAAAGCTGTCTGGCATTTCGCCATCCTCAGTGTATTCTGTCAATCACACCCTGTCATAAATTATCTAAGTCAAATAAACAATAACTGGCATAGCTTAAATCTGAAATACATCTGGCAGATAAGAGCCGCAAAACGCAACAAACCCAGGAACAAGCGAACTCTGGTGTGGCTTGTCGTGTGTTGTGCCCTGACAGCTTAGTTATAAAAAAGAAACCTCTGTTAGCACACAACATGTATTAACACTACGTAACATATAAAGTATACTAACCAAGCCGAAACGCGTCTGACAGAAAAAACCAGACAGAACAATCAAACCAAAGTGATCAGAAGCGACAAAATTTCAAGAAAATTAGTCATTTGCTTGTCAGTCCTGATCGACCTGGTGAGACCATTAGTGCTGGTGGGTAAGAAGTGTTTCGTCATTACGCCATTTCAGTCGTTGGTATTTATATCTTATTTATAACTATAAAGCTTAATAAAAAACCGAACCTAAGACGGCTAAATGCCGAAACGCGTTTGACTGGCAAAAAGCAGCGATAACAGGTCTGAGGTGACCAAATTAGACTTGGGGGGAGGGTGCTGAACCTGTTTGGCCACACATTTTTGACATACTTTAAATTCCAGGCTGTTGCAACTGAAATTGAAAACTACCATTCATAACGAGCAACTCTAATCAATAACATCGTTAATAATTTTATTATAAATTTTCTCATCCTTTTGACCTGTCTACTCGACTGGTGGTGGTAAGACGAGAAGCCGAAACAGAACAAAATGTTGGGAAAAGACTAAAGATTCATAAACCCCCTCATAAGCCAAGAGATATCATTTTATCGATGTTTTAAATACAATTTGCTCTTTAAAACTTAGAACAGCGTTTGTACCACTGCATTTTAAATTTATAAGGAACATATGTATAATAATATATAACGGCCCTCATGCTTGACTATCCGTATTCAATTACAGAAATAAAACCATATTTGGCAACACAAATAGTATTTTGTTGTTTCACATTGGTTACGCTAATAACGAACTAAATCTAACATTTAAGAGAAAGTTCGTTATAAATAAACACAATTAAAGAGCAGCCTAGTTGTACAAAAACAAGTTTATTACTATTAATTAACCAATTAAAAGAAGCACAGCTATTTCCAGTATTTCTGGTATATTGTTGCCTCGGGGTTGATTGGTATCCATCCTGATTTTTACCATTAACGACCTTAATTTACTATTTTTTAATTTTTCCTAATAAAACTTTTGGAACAAAGAAACATTTTGTTTTCAAAAAGCCACCCTCTTTTTGGCTTGGGGTTGTGAAAATCTATGGGTAGAATGTTCTTTGCGCTTGCGCAAATGCAATTCCCTCCACGGTGATTACTAGCAGTACAGTTTGATTCTTTTTAAATTTATGGTATTTAATTTATATAATTTAAATCGAATAAAAGAATAGTGAAGATTTTTCGTGGTATGTAGGACAAAACCTTTCT